TAAAAACACAAAAAATACAAAGTCATAGAACACACAGTTAACAATTGAATCATTACAGTTTGTCAAGTGCCATCGTTACACATCAAAATGTTGATTAATGTTTCATTTATCATGTTTCATAAGCAACTCTAAACAGGTGGGTTTTCAGTCTTGATTTAAAGGAACTTAGAGTTTTGGCTGTTTTACTATTTTCTGGGGGTTTGTTCCAGATTTGAGGTGCATAGAAGCTGAATGCTGCTTCTCCATGTTTGGTTCTGGTTTTGGGGAAGCAGAGCAGACCAGAACCAGAAGACCTGCTAGGTCTGGAAGGTTCACACAACAAAAGCAGATCTTTAATGTATTGTGGTATAACAGTATTTTAAAGTCTACTCTCTGAGTTACAGAGAGCCAGTTTAAGGACTTTAGAACTGGGCAGATGTGCTCTATCTTCCTGGTTGTAGTCTAAACGTGAGCAGCAGCGTTCTGAATCAGCTGCAGCTGTCTGATGGATTTTTTAGGCAGGCCTGTGAAGACACTGTTGCAGTAATCAATGCGACTAAAGATAAACGCATGAATGAGTTTCTCTAGATCTTGCCGAGACATTAGTCCTCTAATCCTGGAAATGTTCTTCAGGTGATTTGAGGCCGACTTTGTAACTGTCTTTATGTGGCTCTGAAGGTTCAGGTCAGAGTCCATCACTACACACAGATTTCGGGCCTGACTGCTAGTTTCTAGCTGTAGCAACTGAAGCTGTGCGTTGACTATAGATCATTCCTTTTTAGGTCCAAAGATAATAACTTCAGTTTTGTTTCTGTTCAGCTGGAGAAAGCTTTGGCTCATCCACACATTTATCTGTTCCAAGCATCTGTTTAGTGATTGGATAGGTTCAGAGTCACCTGGTGACATCGTAATGTCATCTGCGTAGTTATGGTAGCTAATCTTATTTCCTGTTATAACCTGAGCTAGCGGGAGCATGTAGATATTAAATAAGAGGGGTCCACGGATTGAGTCTTGGGGTACCCCACATGTGACTTCTGTCCGCTTCGATGAGAAGTTATCTATAGAAACAAAAAAATCCCTGTTCTTTCTGTAAGATTCAAACCAGTTGAGTACTGGACCRGAGAGTCCTACCCAACTTTCCAGCTATTTCAGTAATATGCCATGATCGATGGTATCAAATGCTGTGCTGAGGTCCAACAGAACCAGCACTGTTCTTCCACAGTATGTATTAATATGGATGTCACTGAACACTTTGACGAAGGCATGTTTAATCACTCGTACAATTTGTGCTTTTTTTTGCGCATACTGTTTGTGCATTATGCAGCTCTCTTTTTGTCATTGTTTATATCGTAGCAGTGTTGTAGCTAGGTTAGCGGCATCAATACAATCGCCTGTCGGCTAAGTGGAATAAGTTTTCATTTGGTTTGTTGGGAAACTACGTCACTATTACTTCTCAGTTCTGGAATACGATGTAAATGGAACGCACCATAACACTTGGTATAATATTAGCCCTATTTTAATGAGTTAGCACGATGAGATAACACATTTTTCTGGTTGAGGTGTTAGTTTCGACTCTCGTAGGGTTGAGTTTTTGCTTCAAGCAAAGGAGTTCAAATACCTGAGAGTCTTGTTCACAATAAATGGTAAGCTGCGTGATGAGCTAATGAATCAGGGTCTCATTTAGAGGATGTTGTCTGAGCAAAGCTAGCGATTAACTGGTCCATCTGCGTTCCAATCTGCACATCTGGATTATGACCAAAATATCAAGATCCTGGATGCAAGCAGCTAAAACCCTCCAAAGAGCTGCCAGGCTCAGCCTTAAGAGACTAAAAGTACTTCAAACCAGGACGGCGACACCTTCTGGGTGTGTTTTTCGAGAGAGCTAAGGTAACATGTGGGGGATTGAAGAGAACAACAATAACCTGATTCATTATGAAGGAGAAGAACGATAACGAAGCACAGCAAATTTGCATTTGGTTAAAACATTGAGTCACAAAGAAGATGCTAAACTAAAATCTTCTGCTTTGTTTTGAAAATGCTTTAAAAAAAACAAGAAGATAAAAATACCTCAAAATAACCCTGAAAAGGTTCTTGTAGCAATAGTCTAAGCCAGGGTTTCTCAAACATTTTGGGTCTGGGAATCCCTTACAAGAGTGAAAAATATCCAAGGACCCCCTTATAAACCCAATGCTGTTTTAAAATAGTTTACTGTCTTTTTATCTCCTAAATGTTTGGTTTAGTGTGTTTGTTTTACTAGTGCATTGTTACCCATATGCATTTAAAAAAAAATAAAAATCTAATTAACAATTTCTTGAAAATTTTTGAGGACCCCCGAGATACAGCTCGCGGCCCCCTTGGGGTCTTGGAACCCCAGTTTGAGAACTTCTGGTCTAAGTTAAAAGTCTAAACTAACCATGCCCAAATCTTAGGTTTGGGAAAGCTCTCATCACCCTGACAAGGAAAACTTTAAGTACACTGGTTGGAGTCCTAACTGGGCACTATCTGCTCAAACACCACAAAGTGATGATGGGACTCCGTGACAATGGTCTGTGTGATGTCTGTGGCATTGAACTACAGACCTCTTTGCACTACTTAGACCACTGCCTGGCTCTGAGCAGTCAAAGGAAAAGAATTATTGGGGACTCCTTTATGGATCCAGAGAAGCTCAGAACACTGAGTGTTTCTAAACTTGTGTCCTTCATCCGAGTGACAAGAAGGTTCGAATRAAGACTAGTGTCTTTTTGGGGAGAGCAATGGGCCCACCTACGAGGCCACCGCTCAAATGGGTTCTTTATCCAGCCCCAGTAACCATAACCATAACCTTCATGTTTAACCATTGATAAAATGACAGGGCTTTGTAAAATAACACTAGGTTGAGTAAGCCACAAAATGAAAGCACAAGCAACAAGACAATCAGAGCCCTCCCGTTTAAAAAAACAGGAAAATCCACTCACAGGTGGGAGAGCTTCAAAAGATAARGCTTTTCCTTCTCATGTTTCTGTACTAATAAGAAAATGATTGCTGGAGGTGACGCTCCTTTTCTTAAAGCTGCAAACAAATTGTTGATTGACTGGCTGAGGTCTGAGCGCCCTGCGGCGGCAGCTGGTTGTGTCGTGCCGGGGCTTGATGAGGAATACGCCTCATCTGGCCGGGGAGTCGGGGCACATTCTTCCACAGTAACTTCACGCCGGGTAGTTTTTCAGAGATATGCCACAGACCAAATAAAAATTGTTGAGGTTTCACACACTAATATTTGGTGTTAGTCTGAAAGCACGTCTTGCAAAACAAGATTCCAGAGAATCACTGACTCGAAGTCTGCAGGGGATGGTGATGGATTTCTTATTTTCAACKAGACTGAAATGAAGCACTCCTGCGTCCACAGAGTGGATTAAACCCCCGACATGAGTTCATTTAGTTCAAGAAACTAAATGAACCCATTCCTTTAAAGATGACAAACCGTCTCTTTCCAACTTTACATCACTAACTCCAAGAAAAAATAAAAATATAAATAAAAAAACAGCAATAACCACCTAAAAAGCCATTTAATTTCCATTGATGACATTTGTTCTAGAACATTTGGGGCTGACTGCCCCGTCTGGGAAACGAGGTGATTTTTAATCATCTTACWCAAAATCCTTCGTCAAAAAAATGTATGAATATTTTTGGTCATGAGCTTGGATCAGTGGTATGTGGTTGTTTTTTGTGACAGCCAGTTCAGCTCTCTATGACAAATATCAAACATGCTCAGAGATCTTCTGGGAAAGTCTCACGCAGGCTGACTTTCCGACATCTTTTCTTAGCCACAAGCACAACCACAGCGTTTTCCTCCTCTTCGTCCCTTTTTATTTAGTGTCTGAATATAGAACTAATAAACAGAAAAATCAACACTTATCTCTGTTAACTGTTGAACAGATATCCAGCTGTTTCCTTGCTTCAACACCACGATTTTAGGTAGGATTCTGGATGAAGGCATCAACAATTGAAGCTTATTGAAATTTACGAAATTTACATAGAGTTAAAAAAAAATTTCGAACACACTGGGAGAAAAAATTGTAACAGCTACTGAAACTGTACAATTGCTATCCACCTCTATCCAAGACATTACAATTATGTGTCTTCCTCTGGCTTCATAAAATACGCTTGCCGCTTATGAAGTTTCCAAAATTTTCGTAAAGTTACGGAAGTACGGGAGTGGGCATTGTTACAACAATGGCTACTGAAGCTGGTAAAATCACTACCTACCTCTATCTAAGCCAGCGCAATTTATTCTTCATGTGTYTTCTTCTGACTTCATAAAATAATTAAGGTCACCCGTACGCAGCTTACGAAGTTTACAAAATTTAAATAAAGTTATAGATGGAATGGGACTGGAGATTGTGACAGCATACAAAAACAGCTACTGAAGGTGTAACCTTGCTACCCACTTCCTCTATCCAAAATGCCCAATTTTATTCTTCATTTGCATTTCTGTGGATTCATAAAATAGATAGTCACCTGCACATTGCTTACGAAGTTTACGCAATTTTACGAAATTTAAGTAAAGTTACACAAAAACTGCTACAGAAGCTGTTCCATCGCTACCTTCCTCCTCTATCAAAGAGAAAATTTATTCTTTGTGTGTTTGCCTCAGGCTTTATAAAGTAACTGCAGTCATCCTCACCACTGCTTACGAAGTTTACGAAATTTACGAACCTGAAAATTGGCACGGTGCCCTGATGGCATCCTGATGCATTGGCGATGATGTCATAAACTCTAACCTGCAACCCAAAGGTTTACGTGCACTTTCCACGATTTGTTTCCTGTTTTTGTGGCACCAATTACAGGGCTGGCATTAAAGTATTTGGTTGTTTTTGGTGTTTTCATGTTGATGAAGACGTTTCTAGAAACTGTTCCATGTTTGTGAGGAAATTTTTAGATTTGAGATATTTTTAGGTTCCAGTCCCACCCTTTAGACCAGACCTGTAACTGGACACAAAAAACAACTAAAACATTAAAAAATAATAATAATAAATTTTACTCACAGAATGAGTGTTGAGATGTTGGAAGAGTAGGGACCCAAATCTGGTATTTCCTCCAGTTCGTTGTGATTCAGTTTTCTTTTTATTTTGAGAAACAGATAAACAGAAACTCAGTTACATGTTGTAAAATAAAAAAGCAAAGTTTTAGTGAGAACACCAATACTTACATTTCACTTAGGTTTTGTAGTTTGGAAAACAAATTCCTATCAAGAGCCTGTAATTTGTTATGGCTCAAGTTCCTGTGAAAGAAAGGAAAAAGATAAGTTTTTTAATTTTTTTAAACATTTCTCATCTGTGACGATGTGAAGCAGATCAAAGACTCAATAATTACACTGCGTGGGTCAGAGGAATGTTTTAGCATGCATGGTGATTGAAAAAAAAAACAAGATTTATTCCTGGCACACTGTCAGCTGAAGTTACCGTAAATGTATAGAGCCTTAAACTATTTTCTTTCGAGATACGAAGCTTTTAAAAATATGGTTGGATCAAATAAAGTGGCTCTTGTTTAACATCCAAAAAAGGTTTGGATGTTAAAGTCCAATTTTTGGATTTCAGTTCCTTCTTTAGTAAAACAAGAGAGGAGGTCCATGAGAAGGGCAACAACAAAAGATAAGAGAAGTCAACAAAACTTAAATTAGCCTGYTTCTGGGGTCTGGACTTGAATCAAACACGTTTCTATTCTGACTTCAGCAATTACAAAACTTTAAACCGAACCTAGTCGTATAAAAAGTTGTCTTTTCCGTCATAATTGCCGGTTTGAGCGACCTCAAAAACCTCCAGCAGCCAGAACTCCTCTGGAGTTTTGCACACTTTTAGAAAACGTCTTAATATTTGCGTCATTTGAAAGAGTTTGTGTGCTTCTTATTGTTCGTTTTAGACTCGAACRGTGCTCAGTCGGTTCTGTTTTTGTTTCGGCACCGTTGGATCTTGGCCCAACTCGACAGAGCCTTGTCAGGTGCAGCCTTGGACTCCTTGAATTTTTTTTAAATGAGCCTGAAAAGCAGCTCAAGAGGTCTGGCGAACAGAGCCTTGTGTGCCATTAAAAGCGGCGAAGTGTTTGACGCTGTTGTGCACGATCGACGCTGCGGTGCCAGACATGTTTTTTTTAACACCTCCCCTCCTCCTCCTCCTCCTCCTTCTTCTTTTTCTTACCTCCCTCATCTGGAATCCATCAAGGAGCTGTGGGAGGAGGGGGAGAGCCTAACAACTAATAATGTATCCGCAATGCCAGGAAAGACGAGTGGGACAACTTTCATTCCCCCTGCTGAATTTTCTGGACCCCGTTTTTATTCTTTAGCAGACGATCAACTGGAGGGGTTTTTTTTTTGGCCTTGCTCCTTCTCCTTTTTACCCTCCGAGTGTAACTTCTGCACAAAAAGCCATATGAGAAAGGTGTCCTATCATATTCCCAAGATAAACTCTGAGTAGACCCTACACATCCATTTCCCCTCACAAAGCAGGCTCTGAGTGGAGCAAGATAAGCCATAGTACAAGCTGCAACCTGTGTCTGCTGCTCTGCTGAAAACACGACACGACTTCCTTATCGCTCGCTGAAAAGTGAATGAACGGGCTGCTCTTTACGCTACAAGAGCTGTCGATACTTCTCACACACAAGCAGATTTATAGGTTGCAGAAACAGTTCTCTTTGGAAGATTAAAACAAAGGTTAAACTAAAGAGCCAAACTTTTAGAAAACTCKGAGTCATATTCTTTACCATTTACATAAATAACATATCCGTTTATCTCTTCAGTTCTGTTATTTTAGCTCTAATCTTAACTAAATTACAGCCAGATGAATAGATTACAACAGATTATTTTAAAAGAAGGATGGAAAGGTGAGTAGGAAGTGATTTTTTGCATGTGGCTCCAGTTTGTACCCTATAGTCTGCATGAAAAGTGACCAAAACAGCATAAAAAGTGGAAAAACAACAACAAAAACAACAATCAGTACCTGATTGAAAAGCTAAGTAATAAAGAGATAAGCTAATTTATTTACTTTGTACTTTCACAGTTTTGTAACCCTACATTTTGTACCAATGTACATATGCACTCATTTGACATTTTAATGAGTAATGAAGATACAGATTTACAGGGATGGGCACAGTTCTGCTAACAGCCAAACTAGCTTCTCATTTAGCGGATTAGCCTTTTTGCTAACTTTAGAAACCGATAGCTGACCGATTAGCTTCCACTAAATTAGGTTCTGCTAATTTTAAGTCCACTAAAGTGTAAAAGGTTTTATGCCATTTATTTTGAATTAAATAAAAAATATCCTCTCTTATAGTGTTGGACATGTCAAGCATCTTGTGTGTTAGCATTTAGCATCTTTAGCAGCTAAACATCAAACTAGGAGCAAAAAAATAAAATAAAATAGCATTTAACAATATTTAAAAAACAAATACAAAAATTGACTGAGCTTAAAATATAGTAGAGAGTATTTGATATTTGTTGTTTGACTAGCTTCAAATGGTATTTATAAAAGTACAAGCTTTAGAAATTACTTTATTCTGAAGGGGGTAAACAGGAAGTATCACAATTTAGCGCTATAACTCTGGTTTGGATTGGCCGATTTGACACATATGATTCAAATTAAACCAATAGAAAACTAGCAACAGTTTTGTGTCAGTCCCATCAGTCTTCAACTGGACGGAGATGAAAACGTGACACAGATTGCGTGACAGTCGTCTTAGCGGTTAGCTTCAGTAATTTTAATCTGCTTAGCAGATTAGCGGTTAGTGAACCCAACTTTTTGGTTWGCTGTGCCCTCCACTGCAAATTAACAAAAGTCCTCATCTGTAACCACATTTGTTCCTCTGAGCATTAGGGAACATTTATAACCGAACTTTAGCCAAAATGTAACCAGAAAGTAAAAGTATTTGGGTACAAAGGGTCCAAAATAGCAAAAATACRAATTGGATAAGGAATGTCTTATGTAGCACATTTATTAAATATTAACACCTGGGTACTACTACTGAAGGAACAAAGTGACCTGGTTTCCTAATTTATTCACTTTATATTTTTGCAGTTTTAGTCACTTCGTGCCTGCACTTGTCTGGGTCCTAAATGTAGTTAAAATTAGGGCTAGGATCTCTGGGTAATGAACTAGACATTTCTCTAACTCAACAAGGACATTTTAAAACTTAAGATTCAAATTTTACACCTTAAAACCCAGCTGTCCGACTTTGAGAATCCTGGACAACTGCACGTCTTTATAGCAGCCACAATCTCACTTTTATTTTTAAAWTCACGGAAAAGCACGCCTGCAGCCTCAAACGCTTCTTTCATAACTTCGTCATCGCTGAAAGACTGCTTTTGTGTTGAGCCAGGATGCGGCTACATTAGCAGCCTTACCTTTGCTGTTGTTTTTTGAAAGAAATGCTGTTCCATGTTATCCTTTTTGGACAAGGCAGCACTCGAATTACATATGAGTCCTCTTCCCACTCCAGGTGAAAATAATAAGTTTTTGTTTGCTTGTTAGCTCGTTTTTCGTTCACGGCACCCAAAACTCGCGAGACTACGTCTGTGAGAATTTACAAGAGGGGTAGGGCAGAGGTAGCGCTTTCAAGGCTGGAATGTTAAATAAACAAGGTTGCGTTCTACAAGTCTCGCGATCCACTGGCAACCAGTCGGTGATCGACCGGTAGATCATGATCGACTGGTTGGGCACCCCTGGCTTAAAGCCACTTCGTACCTACACTTTTCTGGGTACTAAATATAGTTAAAATTAGGACTAGGATTTCTGGGTAATGAACTAGATGTTTCTCTAGTGTCAACGAAGACACAAATAGCGTAACTAATGAGCACTTATTTATTTACTGTATTGTAATCACTACATCTGACGATGACCTAACCAAGTTATTACATTTTTATTTATTTATGCAACGTTTTAAAACTTTAGATTCAAATTTTTAGTTTCTTTTAAACAACCTGTCATTTAAACAGCTACAGCTTAAAGCAGCTTCTTTTCTTCACCCCCTCGTTTTCTTTTTGTGAGTTTTTTGTGAGCTAATCCTCCCTAATCGGTGCCGTTGGTCGGCTCCAGGTTGCTAATTCAGCAGAAATAATGGGGTGCAGGAAAACAAAAGGCTCGAGCGGTTTGAGGGGTTTAAGATGTGCCGGGGAGCAACTCGTAAATTAGCATGCCAGAGTGAAAAGAATTTTACCCCCTTGTATGGATTTTTTATTTTTTAAATTTTCATTGGAAGAGCGGACTTCGTTTATGAGGCTCAGGCTCGGCTCTGTTTTCTCTGGCAGCTACAAATTTCCAGAGGCAGCACATTTTCGAAGAAGAAAAAAAAAAAAAAATTCAGCAGCTTCAACCAGGCACAAAATCAAGTTCTGTAGACGATAAATATCTAGTTCTCCAAGCCAAATGTGAAGTACTGAACATGTATCAAGAAAACTGACACAGGAAYGCAACTTTAAAGTCAAAATTTAAACACAAACTTTAAGGATTTGGGTCTTAATTTGAAAGTCCTGAAAACTGAGGAACACAACGTTTCTTTTTCATTTTTACTAATCCAGATTAAACATTTTAAATTTAGCCATTTTTGACACCAAAGTAGTCTGTTTCTGAGTTTATGCTTTCAAAGAGTTCTTCAATATGTTTCATTTTGTAAAACTATGTTCTGATTCAGAAGAAAAGAAAAATCTGTGTTTGATTTAGGGCTAACTTATCTCGCACCATATGGCAAATAATTAGCATTTATTTAACCGTTATGGGGTTCACAGGGCATCCTACAGTGTAAGCAAACAGAGCTGCACAAACAGCCTGATTTAGCATTCCTGTTGTTTTTCATGCATTTTTTGCCAACTTCTGTTTATTTTGTGCTACTTTAGCTGTTTCTGTATCAAAACGTTCGGCTCATTCAGGAGATGAGTGCTCTGAATTTTGGCTTTTGTAACTTTTATATTTGTTTTACATTTTAACTTTATTTACTAATATTTTCCTCTGTAGATTTGTTATGTTTCTTCAACAACAATCTGCTTTATTAAACTGGTTCTGTTTTTGTCTTCTTGTGTTAGTTTGGTTTTCAGCTATCTTTAGCTACCATTCATCTAGTTTTAGCTTTTAGCAGCCAATTGTTACTTTTAGCATTTAGCTAGCCTTTAACTACTTTTAGCTTAAAAGTAGCCATTTTATGCTTTTAACCTCTTAGTAACTGTAGCTAGCCTTTTGCTACTTTTAATTACTATTCATCCAGTTTTAGCTTTTGGCTTCCAGTTGCTACTTTTAGCTTTTGGTAGCTGATAAGACATGTATAAGCTTTGATATTTTTTAGCTAGACTTTAGCTACTTTTAGTTTACAGGTAGCCTTTGATGCTTTTAGTAAACCCTTTGATGCATTTTGACTAATTAACCATTTGATATTTAGCTATTTTTTAAATATATTTAGCTTTAAGCTAGCCTTTTGCTGCCTTTAGCTACTATTTACTTACGTTTATCGAGCCCCTAGCTACTTTCAGCTTACAGGTAGTCTCCTGATATATTTTAGCTAGCTATGGTTTTTTTTAGCTATTTTTATATGTTTATCTCTTTTAAACATTTAGCTTTAAGTTAGCATTTGCTACTTTTATTCTATGTTTAGCCTTTTGATACTTTTACTCTTTATTTAGGCTTTTACTACCTTTAGCTAACATTCATCTACTTTTAGTTTACAAGTAGGCTTTTGATGCTTTTAGCGAGCATCTTTTGACCAGCTAGCTTTTTGATACTAAGCTATTTTTTTCTATAACTTTTGCTTTAAGTTAGCCTTTGCCTCTTTTCATCTATATGTAGCCTTTATTTTTGTACTTTTTAGCTAGTGTTGTACTTAATTTAGCTTTAAATCAATATTTGATTCTTTGGCAAAGTCATTCTCAAAACTGTCAAAAAATTTTGTTTAGCCATGTGTTTAAAAGATTTTGGCAGTAAAGTTATAAGTGTAACTAGATTTAGCAAATCTATCTATCTATCTATCTATCTATCTAT